GTTTTATATAGTTCTAAAAATCCCCAAAGTGAATTGAAGTTAGACTCACTTTAATAACAAATATTGCATAACACATTTGATGAATGATAATATATATTATAAAAACATAGTATAATAGGTAGCTCATTACCAAAGGTTAGAAATCAGCCTTTTACATAGGCAGGGACTTCATGACGAAAACACCAAAAGCATTGGCAACAAAAGCCAAAATAGACAAATGGGACCCAATCAAACTCCACAGCTTCTGCACAGCAAAAGAAACAGTCATTAGAGTGAATCAGCAACCAACAGAATGGGAAAAAATTTTTGCAATCTACCCATCTGACAAAAGGCTAATATCCAGAATCTACAAAGAACTAAAATAGATTTACAAGAAAAAAACAAAAACAACCCCATTCAAAAGTGGGCAAAGGATATGAACAGACATTTTTTCAAAAGAAGATATGTATGAGGCCAACAAACATATGAAGAAACGCTCATCATCACTGGTCATTAGAGAAATACAAATCAAAACCACATTGAGAAACCATCTCACACCAGTTAGAATGGCGATCATTAAAAAATCTGGAGACAACAGATGCTGGAGAGGATGTGGAGAAATAGGAACATTTTTACACTGTTGGTGGGAGTGTAAATTAGTTCAACCATTGTGGAAGACAGTGTGGCGATTCCTCAAGGACCTAGAAATAGAAATTCCATTTGACCCAGCAATCCCATTACTGGGTATATATCCAAAAGATTATGAATTGTTCTACTATAAGGACACAGGCACACGAATGTTCATTGCAGCACTGTTTACAATAGCAAAGACCTGGAACCAACCCAAATGCCCATCGGTGATAGACTAGACAGGGAAAATGTGGTACATATACATCATGGAATACTATGCGGCCATAAAAAAACGATGAATTTGTGCCCTTTGTGGGGACATGGATGAATCTGGAAACCATCATTCTCAGCAAACTGACACAAGAACAGAAAATCAAACACCATATGTTCTCACTCATAGGTGGGTGTTGAACAATGAGAACACATGGACACAGGGAGGGGAGCATCACACACTGAGGTCTGTTGGAGGTGAAATAGGGGAAGGACAGCGGTGGGTGGGGAGTTGGGGAGAGATAGCATGGGGAGAAATGCCAGATATAGGTGATGGCGAGGAAGGCAGCAAATCACATTGCCATATATGTACCTATGCAACAGTCTTGCATGTTCTTCACATGTACCCCAAAACCTAAAATGCAATAAAAAGAAAATTTAAGAAAAATGAAAAAAATAGAGACCAAAAGAAATAACCAGGACAACAAAATGTAGAGGTATTGAGATAATGCAAGAAGTAAAATAAATAAATAATAAAACTGTTAAAGATAATATTCAGAGAGAAGGGAAGTTATGTGCTTATGAAATAATACAGAGCCCTTGAAAACTGAACAGATAGCAGGAGCAAAAACTTTAATAAATGAGTTGGAAGGTGAAATTGAAGACTCTTTGAGGAAGAAGAACAGAAAGACAAGAAGATGGAAATTGAAGAGGAAAAAAAATAAGGAAGTTGTTGGATCACTACAGAATGTCCAATATCTACCTATAATGTGATATCCTCCATGGCAAGGATTTTGTATGTTTGATCATTGCCTAGAATAGAACCAGACACACAGTAGGTCATCAATAAATAGTTCTGCAAGAAATCAATTTCTAGAACCTAAGGATCCACTCAGAACAGAATGGGGAAAGACTTATGCCAACACACATGATTGTGAAACTTCAGAACATCAGAGACAAAGGGATCTTCAAAGCTTCTGGAGAGGAGAAAAAGCACATATTTAAGGATCAAGAGTCAGACTGGCTTTGAACTTTCAAATAGCAAAGTTGGAAACATTACATACCAGTTAGGAGTCATCCTGTGCTTTTTATATATTCTTTCAAATGCCCAGTGATACAAAGAAACCTACTTCATTCACGCCCAGTGACAGAGCAATCTTGAATATCTTGCAAGATTATACCTTATTTGCAAGCACATACATGAACTAAATTCTTTCAAAATATTGTCATCGAAAATGATTAGCAAAGCAAGTTCACGTCAAAAGTTTTGTGGCTTGATATTAACTCTTTGGTGCTAAATTAAAATGAAACCCATTTATTAAAAATAATCAGCCTTTTAGGTAAAATATCATTGGGGCAACACAGGATACTATCATATTAGGATTTTTATCTGTAAAAGATTAAAGTTGGCTGAGTATGGTGGCTCACGCCTATAATTCCAGTGATAGGAACAGGAGGCAGAGAAATTCTAGGCAGAAAAGAGCAAGGTCCCTGGTGAAGCCCCATCCTCCAGCCTGGAACTGTGTCCCAAAGTGAGAACATGCATTTCTGTTTTCCCACTCGAATGCTGCCTTTTCAGAAACCACACATGGCCCTTTCCACCCCCATCCGGTACCCAGAAAAACCCCTGACTCAACCGGCAGAGAGAAGAGAAGGGGAGAAGAGGAAAGGCAGCTGTACAGTGGAGACTGCAGTTTGAAGTTGGAGAAAAGTAGCTTGACTTGAGAGGGATGGCTGACTGCATTGCTTCAGAGAGGAGTCCAGCCAGGGACAGATGGACTCCAGGGGAAGATCACCTTCCCATTCCATCTCTCTTCCAACTTTCCTTCCCACTGAGAGCCTCTTTCATCAGCAATAAAGTCCTCCATGTTTACCACCCTCCAATTAATTCGTGTGACCTGATTTTTCCTGGATGCCAAACAAGAGCTTGGGTGCCACAGGTGCGGGTGTAAAGCTAAAACAGCACCGTAACACACACCCTCTAGGGCTTCAGGGGTTGAGAGCTGTGGGCTGAGTAAGCAAGGCACTCCTGTCATGAGATCTGGGAAGGGGGTCAAGGAAAATTTTCTGTTTCACCAGCAGTTTGAGAGGCTGAGGTGGGCTGATCACTGGAGGTCAGAGGTTCAAGACCAGCCTGGCCAACACGGTGAAACCCTCTCTCTCTAAAAATATAAAAAATTAGCTGGGCATGGTGATGTGTGCCTGTAAGCCCAGTCATTCAGGAGGCTGTGACACTAAAATCTCTTGAACCCGGGAGGCAGAGGTTGCAGTGAGCTGAGATTGTGCCACTGCACTCCAGCCTGGTAACAGAGTGAAATTCGTTGTTTTTTTTTTTTTTTAATAGATTAAAGCTAATGTTTGTGGACTCACAGCTTTTCTTCAGTCAAAATTTAAATAGATTTTTAAAAGTTCAAAGTCGAACTTACCCACCACAAAAATCCCACCCACCACATTGGAATACTATTAGGATATAGATACTTTATTTAAATTTGCCTGGTTATGTTGGAGAAACATCAGTTTTTACTTGATTCTTCAGTTGCACGATGTATTTATTTTTTGAATCGTTTTAGTTTATGGTTTTGATTAACCATAAGCTTTGTAGTAGTGTGTATGCTATTTATTGGGAATTCCATTTACAAACAAATAATATAAAGAATCAGAACCTTATTTTTTAGAATTTGAATGTACCTCATCCTGTTCCTCTTTGTACTGAGTAAGGAATCCTTTCTTATAGCAGTCCTCGGTCTGTTTGTCAGTGCACCCAGTTCCATCAATTGCTGTTTGCCCCTCTTTTGTGTTTCCTCTTGTGACCACAGAAAGACTTCCCATCTCATGAATCTCCTCATATTCCTGAGAGGAAATAGAGTGTGGGGCAGAGCAATCATCAAATCATCTCAGAAGTCACTGGAAATCAGGTGTATTGATTTTCCTTGGGTCAATCTTTCCTTCCAATTCAGTGGGGTTGGAAAGAAAAGGTGGGGTCATATATCATGTGATTTTACTTCTGCCTAAGATATTTAGATCATTTCTTCATCCAGAGCATAGATTTGACAGTTTCTTACAGAATGAGAAGATATATATATATAACAGATGTTTAAGCCAATTTACCCACACTCTATGATTTATTAATAAACATTTTTTTTTAACCTCAGTCTAAAATTCCATGTACGTAAAGTTGAGGAAAGAGTTGACAGTGATCAGCTTTGTAGTAGTGTGTACGCTATTTATTGGGAATTCCATTTACAAACAAATAACATTTGTTTGTATACTATTGTAATGGCATATAACATTGGCCTGTGATCATTTGTGAAAAATTTACTCCCATATCTGGACTCTGGCTGCCTAATGAATTTCACATTATAAATATGCATACCAAATATAAGATTTAATGGTAAAATATAAATGTTTATTCATACAGTACCTTTGGAGGGACACATAAAAAACTGATCATTGGTTGCCCCTAAAGGAAAAGACTACCATAGGCTGAAGGACAGAGATAAGAAGTATACCCTTTAATTCTATCCGAACTTTGTACTGTGTGTAAGAGTTACCTAAACAATAGTAAAGCACTAAAAAGCAAGTAAAATAAAAATGACAATGTAAAGAGTAACAAAGGATAAGTTAAATGGGAAAGGCAAATACTCTTTTAGTATATTCTAGCCAAATATAATTTGTTTGTGTCTGTTTTGGGTTTATTCTCACAATTGATAAACAAAATTGTATTGATTGATGGCTAAGTCTGATTAGTATTTTTCTCTAGATGGTATTTGTATTTTAATATTTTATCATCTTATTGTTTACTCAACTTCAAATGATATAGAAGGGTTGCCAGGTTTCTCTCTGATGTGGGATCTCTTCTTGATTTGGAATGCAAATTACAAGTGTCTTTTTTGAATAAAGGGACCAGGTGACTTATAGGTATTCCTTCTCTAAATATAACTAAGATAAGATTTTTTTTGAGGTGCATTAATCTACATAAGTGGTAAAGAATTTACTTGAATCTTCTCCAAATTCTCATGTCTAAAGTCTGATTGATTAAATTCATTCTTGGTATTTTATTTTGAAAAGAATGCAGCTTTAGCAAACCTCTTTGTACAAATGCAGTGAGATTAAGTTCATTTAAGTAAATTGTTATTGTATTTTAAAAATTTACCAGCTTTATTTTTCTTTTTCCCTTTTAGCCGACCTCAGAAAGTGTGTTTGTGTCCATTTCTCCCAGCGCACCCTCTGCCTATCTCTACCCACTTGTATATAATTCAGCATCCAGCAGAGGTAAGATTTTGTAAAATACACCATTTCAAGCAGAATGTGAGTCCACAAGAGGAAACACCAAGATAAACATACTTATCCTTACCAGCTCTTTAGTATTTCTGAAAAGAAGTTGATGATAAATGCTTTCTCTTTTGGAAAAGATAGTTTCTTTTTAATTTCATATGATAGTATAGAATCATGTGCTTTAGAGAGAGAGATAACATTTCATAAAATTATGTTACTGAATAGTACAGCAATTTAAAACTCCAACAATTTTGTGTGAAGAAAAAATGAGATTTTTGTGAGTAAAGAGCTAAGAAAATCATTGCTTTTAAAATTTTGGTCATAGCTTATGTTCCTTGATGTCTTTTCTTGCTACAGTAGAGGTAACTGACAATTTTAGTCGTACAGTGTGAATGTATAAATAAATTTTTGGTTTACTTTAGATGAAAAGAAGGAACATGTATATTTTATAATGCATGTTATATGTAAAGATTTTAAAATCAGTACTCTCTTGTATGGGTAAAATTATGCATATGTACCAGTGTATATGTGTGTTTGTAACTCTTGATCAGCTGCGTAATGAAGCGGGGAGGAAGGAGGTCATAGAAAACCATAAATTATAATTAATAGAAAGCTACTCAATGCATACTATGAAATGTAGTTAGTGCAATGTATAGTTAAAAGTCTTTCAGTATTTAGGAACTGAGAATCATAGACCCAATCAGGCTTTCTAAGAAGGTATAATTATTTTTTAAATTTCCAAAGTCTGTGTCAGTCGAAGACTTTAACAGAGACATAAAAGAAATTAATCGACCAGACGTGGTGGCTCATGCCTGTAATCCCAGTACTTTGGGAGGTTGAGGCAGGTGAATCATGAGGTCAGGAGATTGATACCGTCCTGGCCGACATGATAAAACCCATATCTACTAAAAATACAAAAATTAGCTGGATACTTGTAGTCCCAGCTTCTCAGAAGGCTGAGGCAGGAGAATTGCTTAAACCTGTGAGGCAGAGGTTGCAGTGAGCTGAGATTGCACCACTGCACTCCAGCATGGGTGACAGAGCAAGACTGTGTCTCAAAAAAAAAAAAAAAAAAAAAACCAAGAGAAATAAAACAAAAGAAATTAATCTTTTCTCTCTTTCAAATGATAAAACACTTTTTTTTTTTTTTGAAGTAGAGTTTCCCTCTGTCACCCAGGCTGGAGTGCAGTGGCACAATCTCAGCTCACTGCAATCTGTGCCTCCTGGGACAAGCAATTCTTATGCCTCAGACTTAAAAACACTTTTTCTTTTATTGCAAAGTGTTAACTACTCCATTTGGTGGGCAACCTTTTCCTCAGTCTCAACAGCATCATGCTTTTGTCAGGATTTTGACAATTTGGTCACTAGCACTATTTTATTGCAGTTAAACTTAAAACATGTACAGCTCAAATTTATGTAAAATGATAGCTTGTTGGCCATACCAGTTTTGGTTAAAACCTGACGTTTGAGGCTAGCAGCAAACTCAAAGCCTGACTTTTGAGGAGGCCTGACTTTGGGAGGCTGAGGAAGGAGGATCATTTGAGCCCATGAGTTTGAGACTAGCCTGGGCAACATTAGTGAGACCCCATCTCTACAAACAAGTAAAGGAAATTAACCAAGTGTGGTGGTGCATGTCTATAGGCCTAGCTACTTGGGAGGCTAAGATAGGAGGATCCCTTCTGCCCAGTAGTTTAGGCTGCAGTGAGCTCTGATTGCGTCACTGCATTCCAGCCTGGGCTATACAGCAAGACCCTATCTTAAAAAAAAAAAATCCAAACCACTTGACATTTGATGGCAAATACTGCGTTTATTTTGCAGTATACACAATATGGTGCCTTTTCATTGTTGTATGGTTCCAGACACAAGATAGCTTTTTTAATGTGGGTGTTTCATGGATTTGTGGCAATGTTAATATTTTCTTTCTATTTTTTATAGAGCCAAGTCTTACTGTGTTGCCCAGGCTGATCTTGAACTCCTGGCCTCAAGTAATGCTCTTGCCTCAGCCTCCCACAGTGCTAGGATTGCAGGCATGAGCCATTATGCTTAGTCTTTTTAAAAAAAAAGTTTTCAAAAATTTATACATATATATATATATATATATATATATATATATATATTTTATTGCATTTCAGGTTCTACAGTACATGTAAAGGACATGCAGGATTGTTGCATAGGTACATACATGGCAGTGTGGTTTGCTGCCTCCATCCCCATCACCTATATCTGGCATTTCTCCCCATGTTATCCCTCCCCAACTCCCTCCCCAACACTGTGCCTCCTCGAGTCCCCGCCAACAGACCTCAGTGTGTGATGCTCCCCACCATGTGTTCTCATTTCAACACCCACCTATGAGTGAGAGCATATGGTGCTTGATTTTCTGTTCCTTTGTCAGTTTGCTGAGAATAATGACTCCCAGGTTCATCCATGTCCCTAAAAACGACACAAACTCACCGTTTTTTATGGCAGCATAGTATTCCATGGTGTATATGTGCCACATTTTCCCTGTCCAGTCTATCATTGATGGGCATTTGGGTTGGTTCCACATCTTTGCTATTGTAAAAAGTGCTGCAGTGAACATATGTATGCATGTGTCCTTAGAATGATTTATAATCCTTTGGATATATACCCAGTAATGGGATTTCTGGGTCAAATGGAATTTCTATTTCTAGGTCCTTGGGGAATTGCCACATTGTCTTCTACAGTGGTTGAACTAATTTACACTCCCACCGACAGTGTAAAAATGTTCCTATTTCTCCACATCCTCTCCAGCATCTGTTGTCTCCAGATTTTTTAATGACCGCCATTCTAACTGGCATGAGGTGGTATCTCAGTGTGGTTTTGATTTGCATTTCTCTAATGACCAGTGATGATGAGCCTTTTTTCATATGTTTGTTGGCCTCATAAATGTCTTCTTTTGAAAAGTGTCTGTTCGTATCCTTTGCCCACTTGTGAATAGGTTTGTTTGTTTTTTTCTTGTAAATCTGTTTTAGCTCTTTGTAGATTTTGGATATAAGTCCTTTGTCAGATGGGTAGATTGCAAAAATTTTTTCCCATTCTGTTGGTTGCCAGTTTACTCTAATGATTGTTTCTTTTGCTGTGCAGAAGCTCTGGAGTTTAATTAGATCTCATTTGTCTATTTTGGCTTTTGATGCCAATGCTTTTGGTGTTTTAGTCATGAAGTCCTTGCCTATGCCTATGTCTTGAATGGTTTTGCCTAGGTTTTCTTCTAAGGATTTTATGGTGTTAGGTCGTATGTTTAAGTCTTTAATCCATCTGGAGTTGATTTTAGTGTAAGGTATCAGGAAGGGGTCCAGTTTCTGCTTTCTGCACATGGCTAGCCAGTTTTCCCAACACCATTTATTAAAAAGGGAATCCTTTCTCCATTGCTTGTTTTTGTGAGGTTTGCCAAAGATCAGATGGTTGTAGATGTGTGGCATTGCCTCTGAGGCCTCTGTTCTGTTCCATTGATCTGTATCTCTGTTTTGGTACCATGCTGTTTTGATTACTGTAGCCTTGTAGTATAGTTTGAAATGAGATAGCGTGATGCTGTTTTTTTTTGCTTAGAATTGACTTGGCTATGCAGGCTCTCTTTTGGTTTCATATGAAGTTTAAGGTGTTTTTTTCACATTCTGTGAAGATGGTCATAGGTAGCTTGATGGGGATAGCATTGAATCTATAAATTACTTTGGGTAGTATGACCAGTTTCACAATATTGATTCTTCCTAACCATAAGCATGGAATGCTTCTCCATCTGTTTGTGTACTTTCTTATTTCGTTGAGCAGTGGTTTTAGTTGTCCTTGAAGAGATCCTTTACATTATTTGTTAGTAGTATTCTTAGGTATTTTATTCACTTTGTAGCAATTGTGAATGTCAGTTCATTCTTGATTTGGCTCTCTTTAAGTCTGTTATTGGTGTATATGAATGCCTGTGTTTTTTGCACATTGATTTTGTAAACTGAGACTTTGCTGAAGTTGCTTGTCAGTTTTAGGAGATTTTGGGCTGAGATGATGGGGTCTTCTAAATATACAATCATGTCGTCTGCATATAGAGACAATTTGACTTCCTCCTTTCCTAACTGAATATGCTTTATTTCTTTTTCTTGCCTGATTGCTCTGGCTAGACCTTCCAATACTATATTGAATAGGAGTGGTGAGAGAGGGCATCCTTGTCTAGTGCCAGATTTCAAAGGGAAAGTTTCCAGTTTTTGCCCATTCAGTATGATATTGGCTGTAAGTTTCTCATAAATAGCTTTTATTATTTTGAGCTACTTTCCTTCAATACCTAGTTTATTGAGAGTTTTTAGCATATGGGCTATTGAATTTTGTCAAAGGCCTTCTCTGCATCTATTGAGATAATCATGTGGTTTTTTGTCTTTGGTTCTGTTTATGTGGTGAATTATGTTTATAGACTTGCATATGTTGAACCAGCCTTGCATCTTGGGGATGTAGCCTACTTCATGGTGACGGATAAGGTTTTTGATGTGCTGTTGCAATCGGTTTGCCAGTATTTTATTGAATATTTGTGCATCTATGTTCTTCATGGATATTGGCCTGAAGTTTTCTTTTCTTGTTGAGTCTCTGCCTGGTTTTGGTATCAGGATGATATTGATCTCATTAAGTGATTTGGAAAGGATTCCCTCTTTTAATATTGTTTGGAATAATTTTAGAAGGAGTGGTACCAGCTCCTCTTTGTATGTCTGGTAGAATTTGACTGTCGATTCAGCTATTGAAACTTGTGTATGCTACGCAAAGTTCTCATGTTGTGTTTTTCAGCTCTATCAGTTTATATATATGCCTCTCTAAGCTGTTTATTCTCATTAGCATTTCATCAAACTTTTTTTCAAGGTTCTTAATTTCTTTGCATTGGGTTAGAACATGATCTTTTAGCTCAGAGAAGTTTGTTATTACCCACCTTCTGAAGCCTGTTTCTGTCAATTCATCAGACTCATTCTCCATCCAGCCTTGTTGTTCCCTTGCTAGTGAGGAGTTGCAATCCCTTGGAGGAGGAGAGGTGTTCTGGTTTTGGGTATTTTCATCCTTTTTGGCTGGTTTCTTCCCATCTTTGTGGATTTATCTACCTGTGGTCTTTGTGGTTGGTGACTTTCAGACAGGGTCTCTGAGTGGATGTCCATTTTGTTGCTGATGAAGTTATTTCTTTCTGTTTCTTTGTTTTCCTTCTAATAGTCAGGTCCCCCTGCTGTAGGACTATTGGAGGTCTACTCCAAATCCTGCTTGCCTGGGGATCACCTGCAGCGGCTGCAGAACAGTAAGGGTTGCTGCCAATTTCTTCTTCTGTTATCTTTGTTCCAGAATGATACCTGCCAGATGTTAGTCTGAGCTCTCCTTTATGAGGTGTCTCTTTGGTTATACAGGGGATGGGGAGCTGCTTGAGGAGGTGGTCTGCCCCTTATGGGAACTCAAGTGCTGAGCCGTGAGCTCTGTTGTTCTGTTCAGAGCCACTGGGCAGGTACATTTACATGTCCTGCAGCAGAATTCATAACTGCCTTTTTTTCCCGGGTCTCAAATGTTTTAAATTTAGTTTTTAGCATAATTAATCTATGGTTTAATTCATTCATCATTGTGTGTGCTACAAACATATTTTATGTGTATACAAGTACATCCTTTCAGTTTTTCCTTCTCAGCATAGGAATTTCCTATTATTATTATTTTTCTTTTTTTAAGAATGGGGTCTTGCTGTATTGCCCAGGTAGGTCTCAAACTCCTAGGCTCAAGGTATCCTCCAGGCACTGCCTCCCTAAGAGCTGGGACTACAGGCATGAGCCACCATGCCTGGCCATATTCAGCAAAGGAATCTTCCAGTCTTCATCTGACTTATTAATAATGGGCTACCTGTGCTTAACTTTAGCACACCGTTTTCAATAAAAGGATATGCTAGTTTTCTCACTCTCCCATCAAAAAGTTACTAAAAATCATTTGGATAGGCTCTTGGAGGGGGCTTTGGAAAAAGAAGACTTGGTGGAGGAGATGATATGGAGGTGATATGATGGAGCATTTCACAGAGTAGGTATACATATATGTTGGGTCTGACCCACAGACCCTGACCCAGCGACGGTTGAACAAATGTGCACTCAGACAGAGATATCCAGTGAAAGAGTGGGCTAGGGGACCAGGCCACTCACAGACACTGTGGAGGGTGCTATAAAGAGTCAGCAGCCCAAGCAGCCTGAAAAGGGGGCCTACGGGCCTTTACTTAGTATAGATTTAGTGACAAAGGCCTAAAGCAAACACTATTTGTGGGTAATTAACTTTATGGATCTCCAGAATAGGTAACAGTTTTTCTCAGGATGGTCAAAGCTTGGTTTCTGGGGAAACAGGTAAACAAACTAATCTGGATAAATTTCCTTGCACTCTCTTGTAACTTGTCCTACACTAGCTGCCTTCAGCCATAAACTTCTTCCCAAGGCTTTGCCAAACCTTCCAAGAGGGTTTGTATCCATTTTACAGTTTTTCCCACCACCATGACTGAACTCCTACACATGTATATAAAATTACTTAAGGATAAAAACAGAAAAGTTATCTCAAAAATAACAAAAAGCTTTACAAGAAAGAAATCTTATGTTAAACTATTTGGCCTTTGTGAACAATGTATATTTAGTCATGAAGATGCAAATACTGTTTACTGACTTAAATAAAAATATTAGATGTGAGACGAAGGAGTGGTGTTAGAAAGCTAAATCCTCATTTGTTATGAGAGGCACTACTTAAGGACTCTGGAGCTCAACTGCCTGAGTTCAAATTCTTTTTTTTTTTTTTTGAGACGGAGTCTTGCTCTGTCACCCAGGCTAGAGTGCAGTGGCGAGATCTCAGCTTACTTCAACCTCTGCCTCCCAGGTTCAAGTGATTCTCCTGCGTCAGCCTCCTGAGTAGCTGGGACTACAGGCACGTGCTACCACACCTGGCTAATTTTTTTTGGTATTTTTTATGGAGATGGAGTTTCAGTTTGTTAGCCAGGATGGTCGTGATCTTCTAATCTTGTGATCCACCTGCCTCAGCCTCCCAAAGTGCTAGGATTACAGGCATGAGTCACCGTGTCCGGCCAAATTCTTAATAGTTCTGTAAACTCTAACTTTGGGCAAGTTAATTAGTATCTCTGTGCTTCAGTTTCCTCATTAGTAAAGTGGATATGACAAAAGATATATTTCTTTCTCTCTCTGTGTATTGCACTTAGAAATATGTGCTTTAATATTAGCTGTTATGATAATTGGTAGTTTTTAGATAATATCTAAAATTGATAAATCAAAAAATAGGAAAAAACCCAGTATATTATGTGGCCATATGGAGATGACTACCAGAAGAAATAGCCAAAAGAGTTAAAATGATTGCCTCCACGAAGTGGTACTAGGGAGTACATCTGGGAACAACTGTGGCATTTTAAATCTTTTAGCCCTATTTAATTTGATATATATACATGTATTATTTTGATAAAGGTTTAGAAAGTGATTAAGTCTGTGTCACAGTCTCATGGTGATGGTAAGGAGAGAAGAACATTATATCAAACATTAGAAAATGTCCTAAAACCACCTAAGGCAGAGTAACTAATCACTTGGCTCTATGGGCTTCAAGATAGAATTCTCATGGCAACAAGAAAGATGGTTTCCAGTGTTGGAAGCTAGAATATTGAAGAAACCTCTCACGATAGTCGAGTTAATGGCATTTTCAAAAATGGCCACCAGATTTCTGCACTCTAAAGTTATTGTTTTTGTTTTCTTTCCATACCCCATATTCTTTGGAAGCAAGGCCATAAATCTAGCCATACTCAAGTGGGAGGAAGAGATTAAGCTCCATGTTCTAGAAGGGGAAGTATTTACATTTAGTATTTGGAATTCTTTTGTAAGGAAGATTTGTTTCTTCTCCCCCATTTATTTATTAAGTCATTTATTTATATCATTCTGGACTCTTAATTTGTACTTTGGGTTATAATCCAGTATTGCATTATTTATTTTGTTGCTCGAATTGTTCAGTTTTAGCCATTGGGAGCTCTTTGAGATTGGGAGCTCTTTGAGATTGGTTTCTCTGTCCCTTTGACATGTCCCATTGTTTTGTTTTCTTTTTAATTTAAATAAAGAGGCTATGCTGGGAAGAACCCGTTGTTTTGTTTTCTGAGCACTTTCTTGTTTTTGAGGCATAAAGACCTAGGCAATTATCTTCAAGCTGACATAGTGCAAAGTGTAATTACTCAAGAAATAAAAAACTTGTCAGAATAAATGATTCAATTTAGCTAAACACAAATTTACATTTTAATAATCTTAATCATTATATATATTAATGTAATCTTCTTTGATCAGTAAACCCGTAAACATACCCAAATAGAATAAAAAGGTGTGCTTATGTTATTGTTAATACTGATAAAGCAAATAAATTTTACCTCTTTTTATTAACCTGTAGTCTTTAATAAAAGACTTGTGAAACTTATACATAAAGTTATAAATCAGATGTTCATCATAAAATATTTAAAAGTGTTTATATCTAAGTAAAAATCTATGTTTCAATTCATTTTTTAATTAAAGGAAAACAAAGTATTGCGGACAGTTCCTCTACTAGCAGCGTGCCTCCCCCAGGACAAGTGCAAAGTAAAGATCGGTCGCCGCTTCAGTGAAGAAAGGTAAATTAACTGTTAGCGCAATGTAAATGATTCTTTTCTATACAGATCTTTAATAATTGTTTCTTTCAGGTCATTCATTTCTTTCAGCTTATTCGTGGCCTAAAGAGTGGAAATAGTCAAAAAATTTAAGTTCTGCTAACCCCCGACCACACAAGATAATACAAGACAAAAACAAAACAAAATCAAATAAAAAAAAAGTTTCAACTAAGGAATGATAGCATTATCTGAATTTCATAGTAATATATGTTTAGCTTAAAAGGCAAATATACTTAGTGTTTATATCATTTTTGTTAAAAGTGCCTTCCAGCTGGTAGATGGTAGGGTTCTTGTTTTTTTTTAAATATATTCTACAACATTTTTTTTTTTGGTAGGGTTCTTGTATTAGATTTAGTTCAGTTTTTTTCCTACGGTGCCTAATATGGTGCTTACTCAGTAAATTATTGTTACTATTTTTCTTTTTCTTTTTTTTTTTTTTTTGAGATGGAGTTTTGCCCTTGTTACCCAGGCTGGAGTGCAATGGTGTGATCTCAGCTCACCGCAGCCTCCGCCTCCTGGATTCAGGCAATTCTCCTGCCTCAACCTCCTGAGTAGCTGGGATTACAGGCACGCACCACCATGCCCAGCTGATTTTTTTGTATTTTTAGTAGAGACGGGGTTTCACCATGTTGACCAGGATGGTCTCGATTTCTTGACCTCGTGATCCACCCGCCTTGGCTTCCCAAAGTGCTGGGATTACAGGCGTGAGCCACTATGCCTGGCTGTTATTATTTTTCAAGGCAGGATCTCACTTTGTTGCCCAGGCTTGAGTGCAGCGGTGTAATTTTGGCTCAATGTAACCTCCACCTCCTGGCCTCAAGTGATCTTCCCACCTCAGCTTCCTGAGTAGCTGGGACTACGGGCATGAGCCACTGTGCCTGGCCAGTAAGTTATTATTTGCTGATGAATTTTAAATTAAAGCAGTTTAGAACTTTCAATGTAAGTGTGGTAACTGAATGATTAATTTCAGCTTTTGTTAGAGTACATGATGAAATCATGGGGAAATGATTAAAAGAGATACACCTTTTTTTAAAAAAAAAAAAAAACCAAAAGTATCCTTTGTAAATTTTTGCTTTCAGTATATCAGAAAACAGTTGGTTTTTATATATTAACCCTGAATCCAGTAACTTTCTAAATTCATCTGTTAGTTGTGGAAATTGTTTTGTAGATTCTCTGGAACTTTCTATGTAAGCAGCATAGTCATCTGCAAATGGGATCATTTATATTTCTTTCTTTCTGATACTTATCCTTTTTTTTTCTTGCCTCATTGCAATAACTGGTAACTTTAGTATAACGTTTATTAGAAATGGTGAAAGCCAACACCTTTACCTTGGTCCCAGTCTCTGTGGACATTATTAACTATGATATTGGCTGTGGACATGATTAACTATGATATTATTAACTATGAATTGGTCAAGCATTATTGAGGTATAATTTGTAACTAGGTTTTTTCCTGGGTGCTGGTGAGGCACAGCTTCCCTGAGAGAATGCTGTGGGTTCTTGGCCTCCAGTCTCTTAAAGAATAAGCGATAGGACCACTGCAGGTGCACCATGTGCTCATAAAAGTAAATACTGGACCCAAGAAGTGTTGCAGAAAGCTGATTTTATTTAGGTAGAGAAAAAAGAAGAGAAAGACTTCCATGAAGAGTGTGGAAGGGAATTCCAGAGGGGGAAATCCCAGAAGGGAAAGGGAGCTCCCACCATGTAGGAGGGGATTCCAGAGAGCTGGAAGTCCACTGTGGGTGAAGGAATAGGGAAATTTATCCTGGGAGAAATTCCCACCTTCCCAAGTTCCTCTGGCCAATGAAAGGAGTTCCTTTATTATTATTATTTTTTCAATTAGACAACTTTTACTAAATGAGAAAACTACATTTAAAATGTGTTTTAAAACAAAATGGAATTAGAAAAAAAGACATGCATTTTAAAGAACTTTTGCACTGTGCTAAAAATGAAATATCTCTTGCAGTAAGTAATACAATGTGCCAATTCATAAAATGTAAGTTAACAGGTTTCTCAATTTAACATTTTCAAAGACGATATTAAGGTCAAAAATGTCACATCTATGGTAGCACATATAGAAGGGCATTATAGATATGATGTCCATCCCTATGCAGCTTACAAATTTGACAATGCTCAATAAAAGGTTTTAGAAACACATCCAATAGTGTCATAGCCAAAGAATCACAAATCTGTGTCCTGTAAGTCCTCTCCTTCTAAGATCTTTATGTTAACTTTTCTACTCATTGCCATTTGTTAATACTAACCCTTAAAAAAAGAGAGAATAGGAAAAGAAAGGCTGCAATAAACTCTTGATCAGATACAGAAATTATTGCTACTATAGTTCACCACAAAGCATGCCTATACAATATCGTATGACCTTTGATTGTGAAAAATCAGAATAAAAATCTTTAGTGACAAAAGCCTTACAATTGTATATAACATTCACATAGCAATATTAGACAGTTAAGCACCCAGTACCCATAGTTGACAAAATGTCCCACTGACCAGCATTCTTATTTAAATACATCCTTCGTATAGAGGGAGAAAAAAGAGATACTGTCACCTTTCCAAGGCTTGTCAAAAAAGGATTCTGATGTACCGGGATCTAAAAACAAACAACAATAGTAGCAGAAAACTCAAAAAAACAAAATCAGTATAGTTTTGGAAAGGAGTTCCTTTAAACTTCCTCTGTGGTGATTGACTCTTAGTTTCCTCCCGCACCCACGAAATTCAAACATAAACCGTTAAATCTCCCTGATGGAGAGAGATGGGAGTGGGGCATGGTGCTGGGAAATTTTTGCCCTTAAAACTATGCCCCCTAGGGCCAGGCGCGGTGTCTCGTGCCTGTAATCCCAGCCCTTTGGGAGGCTGAGGTGGATGGATCACCAGGTCAAGAGATCGAGACCATCCTGGTCAACATGGTGAAACCCCGTCTCTACTAAAAATACAGAAAATTAGCTGTGCATGGTGGTGTGTGCCTATAATCCCAGCTACTCAGGAGGCTGAGGCAGGAGAATTGCCTGAATCCAGGAGGCGGAGGTTGCGGTGAGCTGAGATTGCGCCATTGCACTCTAGCCTGGGTAACAAGAGCGAAACTCCATCTCAAAAAAACAAAAACAAACAAACAAAAAAACCCAAAAAACCTACGCCCCCTCATGGACCTGGAAAGAGAACACATTCCCTCATAATTGATAGATAAAAGTTATATTTACCATATACAGTGTGATGTTTTGAGATATGTATACATTGTGAAATGATTACCACAGTCAAGCTAATTAACATATCCATCACCTCACATAGTTGCTTGTTCAAGATGTTCAGTAATATTGAGAATACTATAGTATGGCTGTGTCAGGTGAGACACAATGAGGAAGTGAAGCCAAAATGCATGAAAGGAAAGTAGTTTATTACACACATTTACCAGAGAGGTTAGAATGCCAATGTAAGGCCAAAGGGAAGTCTAGAAACGGCAGGAGATTCAACCATTGGGTGGATGGGAAAGGGAGACCTGTGAGATTATGACTCTATTAAGGTCTGTGGGTGTTATGTCTTAGGATTTCCCTGTGGGTTGTGGACTGGCTAGTTTAAAGAGAGCTGTGTGAAGGGGGAGTTTATTCATATGACTCTGGTTTTGACCTTTAGGTTTTATTGTGGTCAGCAGCTATGGGATGTGTTGGGTTTTGGGTTAGTGAGGAAACAAGTAGGCTATATGGCAAACATCACACAGGGAGGGAGAGTTTTAACGAGGCCAAAGGTGGCAGGGTTGGATTACAGATAACTTATGTCAGGCCTAAAATCAATGCCAAGGCAATAACTGTATTAAACACATTTATAATAATAGTTTACTTTAAAAATTTTTTTTTTTTTTTACAGTGAGAACATTTAAGACCTGCTCTCATGGCCATTTTCAAGTATACATTTACTGGAATAACCATGTTATACAGTATATCTCCACATCTTCATTTTTGTAATGTTGGTTATCAGTTTCTAAAGTGCTGAGAGTTTTATGAGTGAGTGAGTGTTGAGTTTCATGAAATGCATCTATTGAAATGATCATGTAGAATCTCTCTAAAATTCTGTTAATATAGTGGATTATATTGATTGATTTCTGCATGTTAAAACCCTTCCATTTCTAAGATCACGCCATTTCATTCCTGCCTGGGTGACAGAGCAAGACTTTGTCTCAAAAAAAAAAAAAGAAAAGACAAGACTGTATTTCTCAGTTGTCAGATGTAGTGTTATACAAATTATCAATTAGGTCAAGATGGTTGATAGTGTTGTTCAAATCTTCTGTATTTTGACTGATTTTATGAGCATGTTTTCTCTCAGATAGCAAGGAAATTATGTTAAAATCTCCAGCAATAATTAGAGATTTGCTTATTTTTACGTTTTGTTGTTTTGATTTCTGTTTCATCTATTTGAAAACTCTTTAGGTGAACATGTAGTTAGTGTTGGTATGTTTACTTGATGCATTGGTCCTTTTATCATTATTACATGTTGTTGGAAAAATGCTCCACTGTTTTTCCTCTGCTGTGGGGTCAACACCACAAACTTCAACACAGAAGACTTCTGTGACCCCCAAATGTGTGAGGAATTCTCCCCACAAGCAAGCAAGCAAGCAGGCAGTAAATTTTGTAATAACGCCAGTTGGATGTCCTTCAATTCAATTCCGACCCTATCTAACTGGAGATAGTGTCACATCGCACAGGGTGAGGGCTCAGTTCCCAAGACTGCCCTTTTCCCACTTCAGACACCATTGGCAAGTCTGGGCCTCAGGAACTTGTGACTGATCAGCTTCAAGTCGGGGCTTCCACAACTCTTGGTTTGGCTTCAGTTAATTGGAAACACTTAATGTTTAGCAGTTTATGATAATGGCTACTACAAAGGATACAGATGAGATATGTAGTACAAAGTACAGAGAAAGGGATACGGAGCTTCTATGCCTTCCCTGGGGCACTACCCTC